AGGCCTTGGATCCCATAATATAAATCAGAAGCAGCTATTTGTTCAAGGCAAGTGAGAGGTCATTTTTAACTCAAAATAAGGATGTGATTTGGCGTTGCTGACATGTGTACATGTGCTTTTGGGGAAAAAATTCCAACAGTTGAGTGCCTACAAATTGTAGAAGTGAGCTTCTAGTTTGCATGTCTATAGGCTTTGGTTATCCACTTATGTTTGGGTGTGTATGGATGCTAGTTTTGTTGATGGATGTGGACCTTGCCCATAGGTTCTCCTAATGAGCCAGTGGTATGTGCCTACAGTAATATATCTAGGTTGTGTGTCTACAGATTCTAGAGAGGTAGTCCAAGTTCTGGTAGCCTGACATTTGAAGACTTTAAGTTAAATGGAAGATATGGGTGGAAGGGTTCATTTATGCTTGAGAGACAGGGTGACAAAAACCTATGAAAGGGATATTTACGCAAGGACATTCATCATTCCAAGTCTTATTACTTGTTTTTCCAAAAATCTATCTCTAAACTTTTTTTTTTCTGTTTTTGGATACAGTGGAGAAGGGTTAGAAACCTCCTTATATTTTTAATTTACAATGTCTAATGAGATGGCCAAACCAAAGGTCTAAGATTCCAAAATCATTAAATATTGGTATCAAGTCATACACAAGAAAACATAAAACAACCAATTGGTTTCAGGGGCTCATGGATCTCCCCCTTCTTCGGGACTATAAAACATATGTAGAAATGTTTTAAAGGCCTGTAGAAGGGGGAGATTTATGAGTCGCGTTGGATGTTTTATTATATAATTTTGAACTATAAAAAGACTTTTGGCATTAAAGGCTTTGGACACTTACAGTAGACCTTTGGTTTGGCATTGAGATGTACTTTAACTATTTAACTCATCTGACTCACCTTTTAAAAGTCTCAGTTTGAAGCAGAGAGGAAAAAAAAGGGACAACATATCGTCTAGAGGCCCAGAAGGGTTGAAGAGCTGAAGTTAGAGTGGTAAATACTGGATAGTTATGGCACCAAAACAGCGAAATGGTCCACCAAGCTATATGCCTTTTGAATTATTTTTTTTTTTTACCAATCAAGAATTAATCAGCAATTCCTTTTCTTATATTAACTTTTCTGTCATTTAACATCTCTTTTAAGAACTTGTTCTATCATTATTATTTGTCCATGTGCTTACTGTATATAACTGTTGTTTAATATCAATATAAATAATTTATATCATTTTCTATGTTTTTTGGTTCCATCTGTGAAAAAAAGTCTTAAAACTGTACAGACACCTTAAATCCACCCAGGGCAGAGACTGGATTTCTTATATTTTGTGGTTGCACTGGTGGTAAGATTATACACCAATATTGCCATCCATGACCCCACCCAACTAGGACTAATGCTTTGAATTATGTATACATGACAATGGCACTAATCAGTCTGAGTGACTTTGCTGTTTCTTTCGAAATTCCTGTTTCCTGCATGAGAATTGATCCTGTAAGAGAAAAAAAAGGAGTATACTTAATGATTATCGAACAGAGTGTTCTATCTCTATGGACAAAGAACTACAGTAGTGACCTTAGGTACTGACTACATGAACATAATAGTCAAGTGTTTCTATGTAATGTAGTGCTGGCAGTATGTTAAGCAGGATTACAATGTTTTAGTGAATATCCTATGGTCAGTAAATAATAAAAACCTATTCATATCTTGAAATGTACTAGGCACATTTTCAAAGGAGAGGAAGCCAAGTTGCGGTCTAGCATTTATGAGATTGCAAACCAGTGACATCAGAGGCACTTTTTAATCATGAAAATGCAGCCTCCATCTTCTCTAGAGACCAGTGTCACTAATGGCACTTCATATTTATGAAAATGTGTCCAAATTAATGTGTCCAATCCCTGGAGACAAGTGACATCACTGACAGACACCTCATATTCATGAGAAGACAGCCCATCCAATCATTAGAGACCAGTGACATCACCTAAATTTTGTTTTCATGAGAACATTGCCCATCCAATCACTAGAGAGGCCATCACCTACATTTTGTTTTCATGAGAACATTGCCCATCCAATCATAGAGGCCTCTTAATGAGAATGCAGGCCATTTAGTCACTAGAGACCAGTGACATCACCGACACTTAATATTCATGAGAACACATTCCATCCATTCTCTGCAGACACTTCATATTCATGAGAACACAGCCTGTCCATTCACTAGAGACCAGTGACATCACCGACACTTAATATTCATGAGAACACAGCCCGTCCAGTCTCTACAGACACTTCATATTCATGAGAACACAGCCTGTCCATTCACTAGAGACCAGTGACATCACTAACACTTCATATTCATGAGAACACAACCCATCAAATCATTAGAGATGAGTGACATCACCGACACTACATATTTATGAGCACACAGCCCATTCAATCACTAGAGACCAGTGACATCACCTATATTTTGTATTCATGAGAACATTGTCCATCCAATCACTAGAGGCCTCTTCATATTAATGAGAATGCAGCCCATCCAATCACTAGAGACCAGTGACATCACTGACACTTAATATTCATGAGAACACAGCCCATCCATTCTCTACAGACACTTCATATTCATGAGAACAGAGCCCGTCCATTCACTAGAGACCAGTGACATCACTAACATGTCATATTATTCATGAGAACACAGCCCATCCATTCTCTACAGACACTTCATATTCATGAGAACACAGCCCGTCCATTCTCTACAGACACTTCATATTCATGAGAACACAGCCTGTCCATTCACTAGAGACTATCACTAACACTTCATATTCATGAGAACACAGCCCATCCAATCATTAGAGACGAGTGACATCACCAACACTACATATTTATGAGCACACAGCCCATTCAATCACTAGAGACCAGTGACATCACCTATATTTTGTATTCATTAGAACATTGTCCATTCAATCACTAGAGGCCTCTTCATATTAATGAGAATGCAGCCCATCCAATCACTAGAGACCAGTGACATCACTGACACTTAATATTCATGAGAACACAGCCCATCCATTCTCTACAGACACTTCATATTCATGAGAACACAGCCCGTCTATTCACTAGAGACCAGTGACATCACTAACACTTCATATTCATGAGAACACAGCCCAACCAATCATTAGAGACCAGTGACATCACTGTGTTAGTGATGTCACTGGTCTCTAATGATTCATGAGAACACAGCCCATCCATTCACTAGAGACTAGTGACATCACCGACACTACATATTTATGAGAACACAGCCCATCCAATCATTAGAGACCAGTGACATCACCAACAATTTGTATTCATGAGAACACAGCCCATCCAATTACTGAAGACTAGTGACATCACCGACACTTCATATTCATGAGAACACAGCTCATTCATTCACTACACACACTTCATATGCATGAAAATACAGCCCATCCATTCACTAGAGACCAGTGACATTAATGACACTTCATATTCATAAGAACGCAGCCCCTCCATTTACCAGAGACCAGGGACATTAAGGACACTTCCTATTCATGAGAACACAAATTCACAAGAACACAGCCTGTCTACTCACTAAAGACCAGTGACATCACCAATAATTCATATTCATTAGAATGCAGCCGCCCATTCACTAGAGACCAGTGACATCACCAATAATTCATATTGATTAGAATGCAGCTGCCCATTCACTAAAGACCAGTGACATCACCAATAATTCATATTGATTAGAAGAGCTGCCCATTGCAGCAGTGACATCACCAATAATTCATTCTAAAGAATGCAGTGATTCATCACCAGTGACATCACCATAATTCATATTGATTAGAATGCAGCTGCCCATTCACTAAAGACCAGTGACATCACCAATAATTCATATTTATTAGAATGCAGCCGCCCATTCACTAGAGACCAGTGACATCACCAATAATTCATATTTATTAGAATGCAGCTGCCCATTCACTAGAGACCAGTTGACACTTGACAACATAGTCTATAAATTTAGTAATGACCAAAAAACCACATACTCAAGAGAATCTAGAGAATTCAGAGTTTGCTTCATGAGCAATGGTTAAGTCCACAACCTCGCTTCCTCTGCTCTCCAGCTAACTTCCACATTTTAAAGTCAGAATGTGTAGTGCAAATTATTGCATACTTCTAAATATTTCTCCTATACAGGTAATTATTGCACATAGCTACCTGATAATATCTCTCAGGTACCTATCTACATGTACCCTACAAAAGGTGTATGTGTATGTATATATACATACATTACAGTGCATTTTTCTTACCCTCCCTTGCTCTTTTGAAAAGTGCAATAAATATATAAATATTTTATCACACTCAGTTATCTCAGTACAGAGTACAAAACCCCAACCCTCCCTTATGTTGCTTCAAACTCCCCTACTTGTACCGCATATAAATAAATATATTATATATACACACACAGACACTCATATATACCCTCACATGTATAGTGCAATGTTAGCAACATAGTACAAAATGGAAGGCCTCCTTCTTGTTGTATATTTACAGCTGAAGGCAATGGTATCTCAAAAGGAATTGCTAATTTTGTACTTTATCATTATTTAAATCCTCTCAGGAACTGAGGAAAGTAGATTTAACACACCTCCTAATATGTAAAAATAAGTGCCACAAATCACCTTATTTTGGTGCAAAAGTTGTTAACTGTTAGGGAAAAAAAAATAGGATAAAAAAAAGTTGGGGGCTCATCCGGGATGACATGAACCATTACTTTGAATAACAGTTATCTGTACAGGGAAGCATACAGGTTATTGAGCATGATCTATGATTTTGTTCTTTAAGAGAATGACATATGTACAGTAGCGACAATACGTGTATAAGGGGTGTAGTATCATGGATCAACATGTACAGTATGTTTTATGTGTAGGCTCAGCTAAAGGAGGCTGTTAGTATTACTGAAATGGGGTCAATCCTGCCCCCTTGCTTTAAGTTGGGCATGAAGGCCCTCTATATATCTGTTTCTAGGAGATATTGCTCTGTGTACCCTTTTTCCAGTTGAAAACCTAATACATTAGTGCAAAAATCAGCCATTGGCCTCCACATGCTAGGCGGAAGGAACAGCTGGCATTTTACATCTGCTGGTAACAATGGTACGTGTGCAGCTAGGTGAGACAACAACTGCTCTTGTGCCCCCCTCAAACCAGAGCCAAAGACATCAATATTGAGGTAGTAGCAGAGAGGCCCTGCCGGGACAGGGAATGGTGCAGTGCAGAGAGAAGCCACCCTTGGCCGAACGCTGTCATCTGCCATCCAGCGAATAGATTTGCGGCGAAGCAGATCATGATTGCCAGGCAAGGCTTGGAAGGGCTGCCAGTCCTGTATGACTGTTTGATTGGGCAGAAGATCCTTCAGTAGGCCCCCACGCTCCAGGAAGACTCCTTGGACCTCTTCGGGAGACAAAAGGATAGGTGGAGGAGGACGTGATGGCCCAGGGGGTAGTGGAATGGAAGATAATCGGGAGGAGAGTTCAGGTGCATTAAAACGAACAAGCAGTATGCCCTGGTAAGGAAGTTAATGAAAAAGAAAGCATAAGGGGAGAATATTTTTATGGAAAATGGAACACGAGGAAAGGACAGGGAGGCAGAGAGAAAAAACAAATTTCAAAATAAAGCTGGAATAATGTCATCTCCTGTTCCATCACAGCTATCTTCTGTTATCCCAAAACATGCAACCTTACCTGTTTCGCTATGACTTTGTATTTGTTGAGCTCCTTTGGAGTCAGCTTGTCATCCCTGGTCAACCTCATTACTTTGACACTTGGGTATCGATGTTTCACCAGCTGGCAACCAAATCTTTGGAGCACTCCAGCTATTCCTCTGCCTCTCTCCCAGGGTGCCACACGGAGCCCCTCTAGAAGAGCTGTTTCCCCTCCATCCACCACAAACATAGAAAGGAGGCCAATCTAAAGTATGGGGAGAACAAGATCATCAGGGTTCCACATGTGAACAAACTTCTCACCTATACCTTACCTCCAGTATCCACTTTTCTGTCAAATTGAACACTGCTAGTCAGGGTGGCTAAATAGACAACTTGACATTTGCTACCTATTATTTTTCATTTAAAGCTATGGTTACCCCTAATCCATGCCCCTTTTCATTTGAAGCTATGCTTACCCTAATCCATGTCCCTTACTTGATGTTATCAGCCTGCAGCCAACATTTTGGATCATGTAATAATCTCAGTCCTGAACAAGGTAGCGATTCCTATGGGTTGTAGTGGTGGCATCGCAATAAAAGGTCAATGCTGTCATATGCACCTCTGCCTTTTTATCTGCCCATGTAGGCTGATAGACAGCATAGCATACTACCCTCTTATATCATGCCTAATATAAGTATTATGCATCTACATTTGGTTACTATCTACTACCGCCTAAGTGATCTCTCTTCCTAGGCTGCATCTCTTGAAATAGAATCAAGAAAGTGAGATCATCTGAAAACATTTTAGAAGATAATCTTTAGGTGCTTTTATAAATTAGTGCTATAAGTCAACATTTGGGGGAACTGCCTATCTTGTGTCCTGGTTGTCTGCTTTAAAAGTATATCTAATTTTAAGTCATCAGAGTTTATTAATAATACAGTATATAAATTAGTCAAAATACTCTACCTGCAGATTCTTTTTTCTTTCTGAAGATTCTAACAATAAGGTTGATAATCATTTATGTAGATGCTTGAGGGCAATCTGTGGCCAAACTTAAAAAGGCTAAACATTGGTGGTACAACATTTTTCCCTCAACCATCTAAAAGCTGCAACATCACGTTTAAGCCCATAGAAGTCAGGCTATGTGTAATTGTTTCATTTGCTTCCTATTGCTGTGGAATTGATTTCCTTCACTCCAAAATGCTTAGCACTAAACACTAAAACGAAAACCTGTAGGAGGAGCAAGTTCATATGTCAGTCGGTGATGACACATCCTTACAACATCTCCTTCTTTCTTGGCCAGTATCACCATCCGGTCCTTCTCGTTCACCCAGCTGTGATATCTGCTGGGCAGATAATCCAATCCTCCATATATACCATGAGACATAGACACAACTTCTTCGAATTCCTTCTCTGTGGCCAGCACAAATTCTAAGTCCCCATCTTGGGGGAAACCAGGAATCGCTTCAAGCTTCATGTGGGAGCCACTGGAGCAGGGGAAACTATGGAAAAAAGTGAGGAAGCCACAAAAACTGCAGCAGAAATTATGGACCAACCAAGTGGTGGGAAGGCTCAAAAACTGGTCAAAGAATATAGATCCAGGGAGTCAGTCCAGGGAATCTAAAAAAACAAAAAGGACCCAGTCATAAACAGTAGAGACAGGAAGATAATAAGAAGACCTACAATCTATAAACTGGATCTATACTCTAATTTTAAATTATTTCAGCAAATATAAGCTTTTGGTCATGTGACCAACACAGGAAGCAACTTTGAGCTGTGATGTGTCCTGAAAAGGTAAGTATTTCAGACCTTTTATTAGTATTACTGGATGGCGATTAGGTAAAATATTGGCTTCTTTTGAGACTCTTGGACTCCAGTAGTCAGAGATCTCCATGATGAAGTTCCAACATCTGCCAACAAGTCTCACCCAACCCGTTGCAACAAGAGAGCTCTCAATTGTCTTGCTGCAAACTCTGTAACCTAAACTAAATCAAAAATATATCAGGGCAATCAAGATCCTCTCAAAGTGATAATAGCAGGTGGGCAGTCAGGATTAAAAAATAGTAATCTTATTCTGAGATCCAAGTGGACAAAAGAAACCAACTGGTATTTTAGTGGGCCATATTATACCCAAAATGGAAATGTCAGCTTTTGGTGGGCTGACCCCTAAGCTGTATTTATAGCCCAAATTTTTTGTTTTGGATAAATATTTGAAGCCCTGTCAAGTTTTTATTGCTGTTTTTGTTAAAGCTAAGCAAATTGACTCTCTGTGTATCTTAGTGACGTTAACATGCTGTGTCATGTTGTCATCAGAACAAGTGTTATGGTAAATCTTCCAATGGTGACAAATAAGAATTTGAGTTTCTCTCGCTGATGTGTCTCTGGGACAGGAAAAGAAGGAAAATCTCACCATCAAATAAATTGACACTCTTCCTGACTCTATCCAAAACTAAAAAACAAGTTTTAGCTATATGTACTGTACACATTAAGGCACTAACTTATAGTTGTTTGCATATTAAAACTATGGATATTGGATGTACAAAAGCTGCTGGATCACCATGCATTGGGGTATGGCCTTAAAGTGGAACTCCAGACAGCAGTCATACTAGCTTTTCACATCACTATGGATGACATGTTGAACATTTCTTTAATGATTTCTATGTGTTTGTCTCTCGGGAGTTGGCTTTGCCTTATAAAAGGCTGATAACAGTAGTCATCCTTCCTATTAGATGACACTTGTAAAACATGGTGGTGACACTTTTGTTGTCACCTCAATTCTCATATGATTTTCAGTGAGACTCCATGCTTTTTTTTCTACATTATCCAACAATGGGCTATAGAGAGTCTGTTATTGAAGCCTGTAGTTTACAAATTACATCACTGATCTGGTCTCCAAATATCACTAAAACCAGGGGCGGACTGACCATTTGGAAACTCAGGCACTACCCAAGGGCCCGGGGTCAGTAGAGGGCCCCATGATATGCCCCTAGTACCTTTTTCATAGGCTTTTTTGAGTTTGGGCAAGGACACAGGGGCCCCATTATCCCCTATTGGCCAGGGGCTCCATGAGTTGTCAGTCCGCCCCTGACCCAAACCGTAATCTCCGCTCCTCGCACGACCTCCTGCTCTCTAGCTCCCTTGTCTCCTCCTCCCATGCTCATCTCCAGGACTTCTCCAGAGCTTCCCCCATCCTCTGGAATTTTCTACACCAATTTATCAGACTATCGCCTACTCTGCTCACTTTTAGGCGATCTATGAAAACCTGTCTCTTCAGGGAAGCCTATCCTGCCCTCAGCTAATAATGGAATCTTCTACTCTTCCTACCAGTTCATCCCCCTCAGTTATTACCTTTAGTACCACTAGCCCCTCCCTCCTAGATTGTAAGCTCCGAAGAGCAGGGCCCTCCTAACCCTCTTGTATTGAACTGTATTGTTGCTGTATTGTCTCCCACTATATTGTAATGCGCTGAGCAAACTGTTGGCGCTATATAAATCCTGTATAATAATATAATATTATTATTATTTATACAGTATTTATATAGCGCCAAAGGGTTTGCTCAGCGCTGTACAGTAGCAAGGGGAACAGAACATGAGACAGTAACAAGACAGTAACAATACAATACATGAGGGGTTCGAGGGCCCTGCTCTTTCGAGCTTACAATCTAGGAGGGAGGGGAAGGTGGTACAGGAGGAGATGGCTGTGGGGGATGGAGCGGTGGGAGGAGTGGAGGAGGTTGTTAGGTGAGGTCAGGTGTTAGATGAGGGCGGGGTAGGCTTCCCTGAAGAGGAGGGTTTTCAGGGTGCGCCTGAAGGTGAGGAGGGTGGGTGACAGTCTGATGGATTGGGGTAGGGAGTTCCAGAGGATGGGGGAAGTCCTAGAGAAGTCCTGCAATCTGGCGTGGGAGGAGGAGACCAGGGAGCTGGAGAGTAGGAGGTCCTGTGAGGAGCGGAGGGCACGGGTAGGGTTGTATTTGGGTATCAGGTCAGTTATGTAGTTTGGGGCGGTGTTGTGAATGGCTTTGTAGGTCAGGGTTAGCAGTTTGAATTTGATACGTTGGGCAATCGGGAGCCAGTGAAGGGATTGGCAGAGGGGGGAGGCAGATGTGGAGCGGTTGGTGTGGTGGATGAGTCTAGCCGCTGAGTTTAGGATCGACTGGAGTGGGGATAGCAATTATAATAATTATAATGTCCCCCATACCAACATGGAACTCAGCAAGAAACAACAAGAAATGCAAGGAAAGTGCACTATTGTAGCAATAACCAAGCTTTGCTAAATTTTATATTATTGTGCCAATCGTTGAAGTGTCTGCATGCCACCTGTACTAATAAGAATTGCCACAAATCTTGCCCACTTATACTGCCAGCTTCCAGTTAGCACCTCAGATTTTCAAAAATGTCTAATGGAACATATACAGTTTCATCATGTTCCTGTGGTACTACTCACATGTAGCTCACACTATAGTAACATATTCTCCTGTGGAAATCTTGAGCCTTGCAGTGGATGGGATAAAATATTACCAGTGGTAAGCAACTGATCAACACGTTCGGTATCACTGTTCTAAAGAATTCCCATTAGTGAGGAAAGTATCAATCTCCAGGCAGGTTTTGGGTTCTAAATAAAATGATAAAAGGATGCACAGTGCGATGACAACAGAACCCTAGCTGAAACACCAGATTCCCACCAAGGTCTGCCAATTAATTCTACAAGTGGATTTGAGCCTACAACTACCAAAAACAGAAAAAAAAATGTATTTACTTGCCATTGCTAATTAACATCCCCAAAGGGACTATATGGGTACTTCAATCAGTCTAAATAATCAATATTTGCTTAGTATACACTATTTATTTGATTAGTTTCCAAGTTAAAAACAAGACAGATCTTTAATAAAAAATGAGTGCCTCAGGCAATTTGTATAGTAATTAACGTTCTCCTAAAGAAGTGACTGAGTTGTCACGAAATGCGCACAGAAATTCCAGCCTCAAGCCATCAAGGTCAGGAAAACTATTGAATCACGTCTAATAAACAGTGATCAGCCATAACTTTTGAAAGGTAAAGTGAATAACATTGATTGTCTCGTTACAATGGCATCTGAAAGTCATTAGGACATATTAGGCAGCAAGTAATCATGTTGTCCCTGAAGTCGATGTGTTCAAAGCGGAAAAATTGGGCACTGCAGTTTATGTATGAAGCTGTGTAGTGGCAGACCAGTCAGGGTACCCCCATGCTGACCCGCGTCCACAGCCAAAACTGCCTACAATGGGCATGTGAGCATCAGAAATGGAATATGGAGCAGTGGAAAAAGATGGCCTTGGTCTGATGAATCATGTTTTCTTTTACATCATGTGGATGGCTGGGTATGTGTGCATCGTTTACCTGGGGAAGAGATGGCACCAGGATGCAGTATGGGAAGCAAGCAAGGCGGCGGATGTAGTGTGATGTTTTGGGCAATGTTCTTCTGGGAAACCTGGGGTCCTGCCACTCATGTGGATGTTACTTTGACACGTATGTAAACATTCAAACAAACAATTCCCAACGCACATATTCCTATAGTTGGGTGCTGCAGTGTCCACTGGCTGGAACCAAAAGACATCAAAGCAAAGTTATGTCACCAACATACCATAAATATCCAGAACAGGTCCAGAAGCTTTATTCAGCAATCACATCAAAATAACTGAAGCAGCGTTTCAGAGCCACACAGGGCCCTTTCATCAGGCATGCAATGAAGGGGCCTGTGTAGCTCCAAAACATTACTTCACTTATTATGATATGATCGCTGAATAAAGCTTTGGACCCATTCTGAATATTCGTGGAGTCCTGGTGGCATACCTTTGCTTAAACATTGTTGCAGACCATGGAAATAATGGATTTTTGACCGCGCTCTAATATTACCGTGTTGATAATATATATATAAATGCTGCTAATTAATCTATACTGCAATAATATTAACTTATCCACCGCATTACTAAGGTTGATCAAAATATAATACTTTTTGAAAAACTTTTTTGCACAACCTTTTTTTTATGCACTATTTTGTGGCTGAACTTTACTAATTCATATATATATTTTTCAAAAATATTTTTTTCATTTGTTTTTATTTTTTTCATTCATTTTTTGTTTTATGCACCGCTTGAACATCTCATTTTATTAATTTATTTAGTTTTAAAGAAATACTACAAAGTTATTTTTTGCTTTTTCACATTTGCACAGTGAATTCTATGAATTAATTTATTTATTTTTATTGAGATACCTATATTGTAAAACCAGCACTATTGGATTTAATCACATTTTTATTTTTTATTCTATTTATTTATTTACTACTGAGATGATATATTTTGATCAACCTTAGTAATGCGGTGGATAAGTTAATATTATCGCAGTATAGATTAATTAGCAGCATTTATATATATATATATTATCAACACGGTAATATTAGAGCGCGGTCAAAAATCCATTATTTCCATGTAATTTACATCTTAT